AGATATATCTCTTATCACTCTACAGAGTGTTAAGAAAAAATTCACTGTGATTGCAAAGTTCTGTATATAATATTACTCTCTTTAATGAAAATAAAATTACGTCATTTATACTCCGAATTTTACATATATACATAATTTTATATATATATATATGTGTGTGTCAGTTATTTTTTTCAACGTGTCAGTACAATATTGTAATATTTCACACATCATTTACATAATGCTAATTGCAATTCTATAATCGTAAGTATTATCTCACAATAATATTTATTGATCATATTACACTCTCTCAGTTAGCGGCTAAGTATATTTGGAATCGTGCTAACACGTGTTTTCGCGTGTAAATCCTGTTTTCTCTCCATCCTGTTTATTCCGTGATTTAAAAATCACACGAAGAGGACAACGAAAAATGACCACCTTTGACAAATGACATTTTTTCTCTTAAATAATAATATCGATGACATGTTTTGCGAGGGCTAGATATATCGACGAGTCATCCTTTCTGCCAACATCTTTTTCATCTATACAATACAATGAAAACACTACGATATTAATATACCGATCATGTTATAATTGAAGGTCCAGATGTGAAAATCGTTGCTCGCGATTCGCTCTGTATCAAATAAATATTCTGCAAACAAGATACGCTGTAAAATACGGAAGACATGTGGCAACAAATATCATTTCGAAAGAATAACGGCTGGAACTATAAATATTAGATTGTAATAAATTATTATTGAGAGTTCACTTCTCGTAATAAATCATTTCTCGAAAAAATACGAGTGTGCTTTTGATTTTATAAATATAAATAGTAAATAAATATAAAAGCCAAGGACATATATCTTACGTAAATTAGTGTCCTATATCAAGTCTCTTTAAATAAATTGTACGACTGATTACGAATTGATACACATAATTTAATCGATTTATTAAGCGCTACGATTTATTCATCCAGTCCTTCGATTACTCGACTACATTGTATATATATATATGTATGTACGCGTTGTATGTATTACGAGTTCATTTGTCAATAAATACACGTACGCACGTCATCGACAGTGTGTTGCTTAAATTTAGATTATTATTCGAACATCGCTGCGCGTAGTGAACAAAACAACCGATGCGCGAGAAATAGAAAAAGAGATCACGTAAGCTTAAGCCATCCCGAGACAAATCTACTCTGCTCTGGATCGTTCCGGAACCGTTTCTGTAACGAAACATGATCGACAGTCGGACGGATTGGCGATCGGGCGGGGGTGGGATCGTACGTATATATTTAAAGATCATTCTCGCGTCAGGGATTTCCCTGGTCCGTCTTGGATACGTGTGCGTGTGCACGTCAGGCAGACTGACACGTTGATAATCCATCGCCGCGGGACCGTTTATTATACGGTCAATTGACGAATTTCCTGGTTCTCCGCTCCAAGTGCGAAAATTTGTCAGGGATTGTTGTTGCCGGAAAATGAACGCATAAATCGCGAATGTAAAGGCCAATGTTAAAACGCGTACTCTTTGTCGGAAATTTAACTTTGAACTTTTTGGTATATTCGCAGCCACATGACAGAGCTCGTCTGATCTTAGAAGAAAAAAAATCATAAAATTTTATTACTTTGTGGGATATCATTCGAAACTTTTTTATCGTTCGTTTATACTCTATTTTTATGCGAACGGATCAAAACGGAAACATATAGAATGATTAAGAATTACTGTATATTTCTTGTAATTGTTTAATATGTATACATAAATAATTGTGTAGCAATAGTAAATATTTTATTCTGCAAGATAAATATCTGTATTAATAATGCAAATATAATATAAGTAATACATTTACATTTAAATTGTGATTTTATTTTCGACGAGCCATTTGTTTGACTTTCTTTAATTTAATTTACATTAAACCGTTTTCATTTATAAACGATTAATCAATAGTTAATTATGGGCTTTTAAAAGCGTGATTTACGTTTAAAGAATCCTAACGCAAATAAGATAAAAGCATTGAGATTACATTGGACATACGAGTGTAAACCGAATGTATGCATGTTTTGCATCGGAAAACCCCTATTTCGGGTTAATAGATTGCCTGTCGAAACGGCTTATGCATCTACTAGGATCATTTTTGTGGATTTCTGCCAGCTAACGTGATTCACATGATTGTGTTGGCGCGTTCGTGTGAGTCGTATGCACCCTCCCGTGAAACCAACGAAATTTGCATTGCCGGGAAACTTGTGCTATACGTCGGGGAAAATTTCCGAAGCTGTCACTCCCTCATGCGCGACGCGCGGCATCTGTCATAAAATATATTGCCAGAAATTTAATTTATCACATCTACCGATTCATATCAATTATTTATATATTGATAGGTACTTTACCTCAAATAGTTTCTATGTCTTTACTGTGTGTTTATCGACCTGCATCTTCTCCGGAGATTTATAAAATTGTTCAATTGTCTTTTGTTATATATATATATATATATAATTATTTTTAGTTATAGTTATTTTTAGTTATATTAATTATTTTTAGTTTTATGAATTTTTTTTTTATA